ATAATATTATATTAATGTGAATGTAATACTATTTACCACTTAGGCATAATTACACAATAACGTGATAATAAACTAAAAATACTTCATTTAATATAAAAAAAAATTGAGAGTAAAAAATATCACATTTAAAATTTAAAATTCAAAGACTAAAACTAAACTAAACGATTAATTAAATTTCTTTTTTCTCATGTATTTCAGACTTAACTTTTAAATGCAAAGTATTCAAATTCTGGAAAGAAAAATAAAAAAGCGTGTCATATTTTAAATTATTATTAACCCGTCATTATTAGCCTTTAATTTAAATTTGATTTTATATAGTTAATAATTTATTCAACAATAAAAATAAAATTATAATTTAATAATTAATTAAAAATAGTAATAAAAGAGTAATTAGATAAACTTTAATTCGACACAATATATTTGAGTAATTTTTTTTTTACCATGAGCATGATTAATATAGTGTTTTAAAATTGACAACTAAAAATAAACACATATTAAAAAAACCGAGATAGAAAAACGAAGTTGAATCTTCATTTAAATGAAAGAGGATTTTTATATGATAAGTCAAATTAAATTAAATTTTACTTTTTTTTTTCCAGTTTATTTAACGTTTAAAGTTTTTGCACATAACTTCAAAAATGTAATTATGTAATTAATATGTCTGATTTTATAAAAAGAACTAAATTATATGTAACTTCCTAGTATATTTTTGAACTTTTTAAAAGGTATAATAGAAAAAATATTTTATTTTATATTTGATATTATAAAAATGAAACGAAAGGAGCATTAACCTCCATAAATGTTTCAATATTTTTAATTTAAGAAAATTCATAAGAATTTATATGTTCAAGCAAGCCATTACTTCACTTTAATTTTTCTCCTTCTAGGACATTGAACCGACTGATTTTTCAGTTATTCTTGTTATGTTTTAAGACATGAATAAGAGGAAGTACTCTAACGTTCAATAAGTCAACCAATATAATGTGCATGCACCGCACCTACTTTAGCTGTTTAGCATGCAACTCACTCACCCTTGTCTATAAATTAAACCGTACTTGTTAGCTGATATTTTTTATTTTTAAATATTTTTTTTCTGTTATTATAATCAGATAATTTATCTGTTATAATTTTCTTATCTTTCCGTTGTTTCCCATAGTATAAATACACCTTTTTGTTTTCATTCCAGAATATATTAAGAATTCTTCTCAATTCTTTGACTTCATTCACTTTCTTTTCTCATACTTTCTTTGATTCTTTTACATGGTATCATGAGCGAGGTTGATCCTTTGACACAATCCCGTCTTCTTCTGCAATTCTTTTTTCGTCTTTTTGGCTATATAAGTTTCCGAAACTGCGATTTCAAAAGGAGGACCATGCTGGCTTGCTGGCCGCAGAAAGATACAAATCAGAAATCCAAGCCCACACATTTTAATTAGATTCCTCACTCTTTGCCTACTATAAACTCTACTCAAAAATATCCACTCAATAACTATTTATATATATATATATATTATATGCTATGAATATACACTAGATCCTTGCGAGTCTGTATTGTTAAACTTCGTTATAAACATTTTTTAAGAAAAAAAAAAGAAAGAAAAAATAAAATAATATAAGTTAAAATTATACTATTTGATAATTTTTATAAATATTATACTATTTTCAATTTTAAAGTAAAAACATTTACTTTTTCACTTTAAAGTTTAACTTATATGCATTGTTTACATAAAATATTTTACCTATTCAACAAATTAAAAAATGGAATCTAAATTTTTAGGTAGTGTTTGTTTCCGGGAAAGTACTGTTCACGAGCAAAGAAAGATGTGAAAAGTATCCGTTTGTTTTCCCTGATTTGGAACGAAGGAAAGGCGAAGAAAAGCGAGGAGAAGCACTGTTGCTCTCCTCGCACAAAAGGGAAGAAAGGAGGTGAAAGACACGTAGGATTTAGTTAGGGAAATGAACCAACTCATTGAGTAACTCACCCTTTCTCTCCCCAAGTTAAGCTCCTGCAAAATCAAGCAGAAACAGTTACTATCACAATCACCTTCAATTAACAAAGCATTTGTTCAATTTGGTGGAAACTAACTAACCGCTAACATGTGGCTATTTGACTGAGCGAGGTTCCAGTTTTGAAGCTGCAACTTCTTCACATCGCCTATCAGCCTCTGCAGCTCCGCGCCACTCACTTCAATGATCTTACTGTTCAATTTTCAAACAACATTAGTTCAATTAACATTAGCATTTCAATTTAATGCTTTCGATTCAGATCCTAAAAGGAGCACGAGAGGATACTTTCTTTCCGCAAGAAGTTGGATCAACGCCGTCCTTTCCTGCATCACAATTCATCCAATTAAAAACAGAAAGAGAGAATGATATTACAAAAGTGAAAGAGTAAATTAATGTACCTTCAGAAGTTGTTGAATGGAATTGTTCTCGGAAGGAATCAAATCTTAGCTAGCTCTTAACAAACAAAACTGTGGTTTAAAATAAGGTATGCAATCAATAAACGAGACACATATCCAACAAACATCTTACCTCCAACCAACATCTGCTCTTACATTTTTCAGATTACAAGCATTGTCTTCTCTCTCATTGAGTTGGTACTTCAAATCTACATTCAAAAGCACACAAAAAATAAAGTGTTGTACGGTGAGAAAAATTAGGAAAAGAAGAATGCACACACGACATTGCCACTCTTACCTCATCTGCAATCATGGCAATAAGTGCTGAACTGTTGGTAGGAATTTGAACTCTGTTGGCCATTTGGTATGACTGGAGAAGATAAACAAGAATAACAATAAACGTCAGAGAGCTTGACAATTAGCCATAGGTATTAGACTGTAAGTAGTATTGAACAATAAAATGATCCACTTCCAAATAATAAACATGATACATCATTAAAGCACATTATCTGTTCATTACTACGAGTCAATTTGGCACCCCCTTAAAATTAGGGGTGAGAATCAGCAAGGAATTTTTCACACAAACTCTTCCCTGAATAATTCACCACAATTTTTCGTGAGGATACCAAACTAACCACGACTCGAAGATCGTAAATCTAAGTCAATCCGAGTGCTCTTAAATAGTAAATAATCACAGATCTTAGATCCTTTACACGTGACTAATTGAAATTATGATCCCTTTACTCGTCATTGATCCCAATCAAAAGATCTATAAATTAGGGGTGAAATGAAATGCGAATTGAAAACAGGCGTACAAAAATCTGCCCTCTGTTTAAAGTGATTTAAATGAATTATGCTCTGAAATTCCTCATAAGAGGATCAACGTAACCAAAATCAGCAATTGTTGAGAGGAAACATCAGCATATCATGACAGTTGCTCGGGCCTTGGTGATGCAGTCTAACCTTCCAAAATCTTTTTGGTTTTATGCTGTTAGTCATGCTAGCTCTGAACTGTGAAATGTTGGATTTAGTTCCCTTGATGCTGATTTTGGTTACGTTGATCCTCTTATGAGGAATTTCAGAGCATAATTCATTTAAATCACTTTAAACAGAGGGCAGATTTTTGTACGCCTGTTTTCAATTCGCATTTCATTTCTCAATTTATAGATCTTTTGATTGGGGTCAATGACGAGTAAAGGGATCGTAATTTCAATTTATACTGGAACGGAGATGTTAGGCTCAGTTAAAGCAGTAACCTGCTTGTGAAAAATTGACTTACAGGTAGAATAGATAGTTCAGTGATACCTAGATCAAGATGCCAATAAGTCATACACAAAAACACCGCCAATTGCTACTACATAAAATAGGCTCAGTTTTGTTGTTATTTTGTTTTGAACAGTCATGATATCTAATCACTCATGACAGATTTTGTTATTGAAAACCATAATATTAATTTTATCCATGTATATACCTATGGAGCATCAATGCATCACATAATTTTTGTGATAGGCACCAGATCAGAACCATGCAAACTGAGATATGTATCAAGTCGTGTAAGCTGACATCAACTTGATATCAAATCACTGGGCTCTGATATGTGTATACAAAACTAGCAGAAATTAAAAAGAAAACACACTAGAAGCCACACATTCAAGGGGCCTGGTTCTCTCCCCACTGCTTATAATCACTTCTTTCATCCCTCCTCTCTTTCCCTCAATTCCTAGTTATCCCACACTGCTGTGTTGTTTACTCTCCCTCCATCATGAGACTCATCACACATAGGATTTACTTATTCACATTTCTTGCAAGTTGTCATCCTTACTTGTAGAATAGATCCCCTGCTGCTCATGTAACTTCTTCCTAACATACACCTTTGTTGGTGGTTACCTACCGGTTTGTCTTTGAGTAGCACAAAAAAAAAACTCTTTTTAATTCATTGTGTTTTAGTTTCATATTGATCCCAAGTCGACAACCCAAAGCAAACTTTTCTTGATAAAAATACCTAAAATTCAAAATACTGAGCTTTCTCTCATTATTATTCCTGCTAGTTTCTAAAATACACAGTTGAAAAGCACCAAGTACATATGTATGTGAAAAAAAAATGCCTAAAATATAACATACTCGGCTTTCTGTCTTTATTACTTTTGCTAAGATACACAGTTAAAAAGCACCAAGTCTATATAAAATAAATAATATAATTTTAACTTTCAATATATTTCCAACATGTGAGTTGAATTGAAAAATTTAACGACCAGGCATTGAAATGAATGGAAATACACTACCATATAGAACCACATCATCAATTTATAGACAACTGAATGCAAATGACACCCCCACTCCCACCTTCACCAACACTCCCCTATGCCACATAATATGTTAAAAAAGACAAGTAATTGTAATTGCATAAAGCTAGAAGCACAAAAACAAAGACACTAAGAGCCTATTTGGATATAGTTTAGAAGGGCTTTTGAAAGCTTCTCTACTAAAAATAAACATCTAGTGATAGGGAAAGGGAAACATCTAGTGTTGACACACTTGCATTGCTCTTTATTGGAGAAAATAGAGAAGGGTGCAATTTTTGTGTCTACTATCCTTTAAGTTGAAGCCATATGCGTATTCCTGTTTGGTGAGTGTTTCTCTTTTACTAGTTGGATACTTCTCTTTGGATAGATTGATATGTAGCCTGATTATTGACTCTCCTGCTTAGGAAATCACAGAGTCTTTTTTACATATACACTAGTTCTCAAAAGTATAAAAAAATGTGGATCTATGGTGGTTAATTAACTGAATGTCAGATATCAGATAGTGATAAAACAATTTATCACCCCCCATGTATTTGCACTTGTAATTGGCTTATTGTCTTCCAATCTTGAATTTTCTTGTGTTTTTGCTTTAATTATTGTAGTGGTGACGTCATGTCTCCTGCTCCACCCAAAAGACACAAAACAGACTGGAAAATAAAAATGAAATTTGATCACAAGGACAAAGAATTTGTAAAAGCTTGTTGTATGCACTATGCTGAAAGTGCTCAAATGATGTAAGTATCCCCTTTTGGGTTTATGTTAGTGACCACTCACATTGATTTTGAGTTTTTTTACTATATTTTCAATTAACGTAATAATTAACCATCAGAAGATTGGAAACCGCAGTGCTTGTTTATGTATTCTGAAGTTTCTTTTCACAGGATAAGGCACAGGAGAGATTTATGAGGATAACACATGCATACAATACATTGCTAAATTCTAGTTCCCGCAAAAAGTATGATTCTGGAAACCAGGGTTATGATTTTTATTATTGCTGTTACACATCCGCAATTTTTTTCTTTTTAATTTCTTTTACTTTTTAGATTCAACATGTTTATGTAGTACTCAAAGATAATGTTCTAATTATCTAAGTTTATAATGCAGTACCATGAAGTGCCTTGTGATAGTTTGGATGTTTAGATGCTTTTAATTATCTGTTAGAGGTATGTTTCCCTCCTTAACTTCCAAATTATAGTCCTGCTTCTAATTTAAGAAAATCATCAAATGCCAAGTTCTTTTGTGTGAATTACTTTAGAATTTTGTGAAAATCTTCTTTCATATAACATTTGATGCAGTATTTTTTAATAAATTATACCTATTAATATAATTTTATTGTAATTATTATTATTTACAATAAATAATATTATACTCATTTTTAATCCAATGGTAAAAGTGTAAATTATATATTCATCTATTAAATTTTTAATTTTTATCTATCATTAAATTTAAAGCAAATATTTAAATTAATTTATTTTTAAATTAATATTTTATAATTTTTTTTAGTTAAAATTTATATATTTATCTTTTAATTATAATAATTATAAACTTTTTTTAACCTAAGGGCAAAATAGTAATCTTTCACAATTATCAATTAAAAAATTTATTTTTATCTATCATATCAATCAATTCATTCACAAACTTTCACAAACTTTCTCTATACTTTCCACTCACTTTCCCTTAATCCAAACAACCTCACTTTCCACTCACTTTCCCTTCAAATCTCTCCTTTTCCACTTCCTCTTTTCCATCTTCAAATTCAAACAAAGCCTTAAGGTGATAATTATAAAAATGAGTAAATTTACTATAGAAGAGAAATTATGATTGAATGATTACATAAAAAGTGAACGTTTTTATAGAGTATTTAGTCATAATTTGGTTGATATATTTTTTAGAGTGGAAATAAAAGTTATTATCGAACGAAAAGACTCGTGAGTGGACAATGAGAGGTTGGATCCGAACATGGGAGAAATACTGACAGCTGGGTTGGGCTATAAGCCATCAATTCCCACCGGCCCACCTCATTCCAATCACCACTCATTCAATTGCCCTTTCAATATTCCTCTATCATGTTTATTCAATTATACTTCAAATTCCAATATTCCTGCAAAATAATAAATAAACACATGGCCGGCTAAGTTCGCCTCTGTTTTTTTCTTTCTTTTTTTAGAATTCATTCAGAACATTTTTTTGCAGCTTTCTTTTTTATTTTTATAAAGGTATAAAAAGAGAAACGATTGGATAATTTATCTGTTATAATTTTCTTATCTTTCCGTTGTTTCCCATAGTATAAATACACCTTTTTGTATTCATTCCAGAATATATGAAGAATTCTTCTCAATTCTTTGAATTCATTCACTTTCTTTTCTCATACTTTCTTTGATTCTTTTACAGTACTCACCCACAGTAACATCATATTCACAACTATGCCGAAACCTAGTTTGTCCTTTCTTTCTGTCGTTTTACTTCTTCTATCTGTCTCCACTTCGTTGTCGGCACCAGCTTCTTCTCTCTACACCACTTTCCTTCGATGCCTCACACAACACACAAACTCCTCAACCCAACTCTCCAACATACTCTTAGCTCCAACCAACCCCTCCTTCCCCTCCGTCCTCCGAAACTACATCCGAAACGCGCGTTTCAACACCTCCTCCACGCAGAAACCCTTACTCATTGTCACTCCTCTCACAGAATCGCACGTCCAAGGTGCTGTAATATGCGCCAAAAGCGTCAACGTTCAACTCAAAATCCGAAGCGGAGGACATGATTTCGAGGGTATCTCCTACATCTCCGAAGAACCCTTCATCATCCTCGACATGTTCAACCTTCGCGCGATCACCGTCGATATAGTAAACGAGTTTGCCTTGGTCCAAGCTTGGGGATTAGATTTCCATCACCTAACAAGGGATGTCCACCAATACATGGCATGGCCTTGAAAGCTTAAGGTGGCTAGAGACACTTTTCTTTCTTCATTCACTTGGTGGCAAGTGAAGATTTGTTCAACCTTCATTTCCCAATCAAGGTACCCCTCAACATCATCTTTGCCATGAAAATAAGGGAGATCTACCCTAGATTCCCTAGTTTTGGGGGTCCTATGAACTCTTCTAGGAGGTTGTTGGTAATGATCACCTAAGGCTAGGCTATCATCATGCATAGATTCTGCTAGGGTTGAACTATGGGCTTGGGAGCTATGTTTACTTCGGTGTCTATGATGGAATTTTTCTTCTTTTTACTTCAATAAATGAATTTCTTCCTCCAAAAGAGCAAGTTGAGCCTCTCTTTCAAGAGCATTTTTTTGTGAATTGTGTCTTGCTCGATGCTAATGGTGGGTGGGTGGTGGTGTTTCACTTCTGCTGTCGATTTGGTTTACTGTCGCTTTCTCTCAATGGAATGTGTTTGGTTTATCTGATAATTTTTAGCTTTTTATGGAATTCGACTTTGAAAGAATTGGTGTTGAGAAAGTTGAGTTGTGGTTGGGAATGGTGTTTTAGTCAATTATACTTGCAGTCTGGTTAGATAAATTTCTCCATAAGTATTTCTAGGAGAAGAAAATAAGAACATTACATGAAATTAACTTCTCTAAAAACTAAAATTTGTTTTAAGTTTAAGCTAATTTGTGGAAATTCTCGTGTTAGCTTCTTCCAAATATGTTTTAGTTTAGATACTCATTCAGTCTCTGGTTGAAAACATTCTATGTTAGTCTTTATATACTGTCATTTTTATTTTCTTTTAGTTCCTATTGTCTGTTTTTTATTAATGACTAAAAGATAAAGTTTACAAAATTATAGGATTTAAAAGAAAACAAATTGTATGTATAGAGATAAAATGGAATGTTTTTATTTATAAAAGCTAAAAGATAAAGTTCTTGAAACTATAAGAATCAAATGAGTATTTGAACCTATGATTTTTATCTTAAGTTACAGAGAAACTTATTTCATTCTTTTTTATTTTCTTCTCTCAAAAGTACTTATACTTATTGAGAAACTTATCGAAAAATACTTGTGCTGCTAGATTGATTTTGAGAACTCCAAAAATTTCCCTGACAATGGGACAACTCTTGTTAGTTTTTACAAATAAATTCTTTTGGAAATTGAGCTAACAGGACATTAGTTGGAAGTTCAATTTTTCAAATTAATTAATTTTTACTTGTTTTGAATACAGTTGGTGACCTTAACCACCTGATTTCTGCCACCATGAGTGGAGTTACTTGTGGCGGCGACTCCGACCTCCAACTCGACCGCATCAACATCTACTACAACGAAGCCAGCGGCGGAAGGTACGTCCCACGCGCCGTCCTCATGGATCTGGAGCCCGGCACCATGGACTCCGTCAGATCCGGCCCCTACGGCCAGATCTTCCGCCCCGACAACTTCGTCTTCGGCCAGTCCGGCGCCGGCAACAACTGGGCCAAGGGCCACTACACCGAAGGCGCTGAACTCATCGACTCCGTCCTCGACGTCGTCCGCAAAGAAGCCGAGAATTGCGATTGCTTGCAAGGTACTCATTAATGATCGATTCATTCGCTCCTTCTTCATTCGGTTGTTAATCTTTGATTGCTATTGTTGTTGTTGATGTAGGGTTTCAGGTGTGTCATTCGCTTGGGGGAGGGACTGGCTCCGGCATGGGGACGCTGCTGATCTCCAAGATTCGGGAGGAGTATCCCGATCGCATGATGTTGACGTTTTCCGTGTTTCCTTCGCCCAAGGTTTCCGACACTGTTGTTGAGCCTTACAATGCTACTCTTTCCGTTCACCAGCTTGTTGAGAACGCTGATGAGTGTATGGTTTTGGACAATGAGGCTCTCTATGACATATGCTTCAGGACTCTCAAGCTCGCTACGCCCACGTGTGAGTTGGTTTCTGGTTTTGGTTTTTGGTTTTGTTGCTTGCTGTGTTTGTTGAGTAATGATTGCTGGTAGTATCTGGTTTTGGGTTGAATTTTGGAAGTTGGGGTTGGGTGTCGTTGTGGTGTTGGTGGGGCCGTGGGGTTAGGTTTTGTGTCTTGCTCGATGCTAATGGTGGGTGGGTGGTGGTGTTTCACTTCTGCTGTCGATTTGGTTTACTGTCGCTTTCTCTCAATGGAATGTGTTTGGTTTATCTGATAATTTTTAGCTTTTTATGGAATTCGACTTTGAAAGAATTGGTGTTGAGAAAGTTGAGTTGTGGTTGGGAATGGTGTTTTAGTCAATTATACTTGCAGTCTGGTTAGATAAATTTCTCCATAAGTATTTCTAGGAGAAGAAAATAAGAACATTACATGAAATGAACTTCTCTAAAAACTAAAATTTGTTTTAAGTTTAAGCTAATTTGTGGAAATTCTCGTGTTAGCTTCTTCCAAATATGATACAAATTTAATTTGTGAAAGATTTATGATACAAATTAAATTTAGTCTTTCTTGATTGCATGAAGCTCTAGTAGTCTTGGCAGGTCTGCGATAGTTCACCTAGACAAAGCACATATTTTAATGGCTCTGTCATGTTTATAAATACATAATCATAGGTAAAATATGGCTTATGCAGCCAAATTGCAGTTGCAGGGTATCTTAAACCACAACATTGTGGTGAAAATTGCAGTTATGGACTTTAATTTCAAATCACAGTTCTTCTATCAATGAAAAAAAATTGTCAAAAGTTCCTACCTATGTCAAATATCCCAGATTCTCAAGTATGGGATAAAATTCCTCGGCCCAAAGACAACCTGTTTAAAGAACGCGAACAACTTCGTCTTCGGCCAGTCCGGCGCCGGCAACAACTGGGCCAAGGGCCACTACACCGAAGGCGCTGAACTCATCGACTCCGTCCTCGACGTCGTCCGCAAAGAAGCCGAGAATTGCGATTGCTTGCAAGGTACTCATTAATGATCGATTCATTCGCTCCTTCTTCATTCGGTTGTTAATCTTTGATTGCTATTGTTGTTGTTGATGTAGGGTTTCAGGTGTGTCATTCGCTTGGGGGAGGGACTGGCTCCGGCATGGGGACGCTGCTGATCTCCAAGATTCTTTTGCTTTTAGTTTAAAATTTGCTAGACGTTTCCGCAACATGTCCCACTATTGGTGTGGGTGGCCATATCAGTGGAGGAGGGTACGGTAACATGTTGAGAAAATATGGTTTATCTGTTGATAACGTCATCGATGCTGAAATGGTTGATGTCAAAGGAAATCTTCTAAACA